GATGGACGTTTTTTATGACATATGATGCTAAAAATGTGCTACAAATATGGAAGAATTAAATTAAGGCTTGGAATCAGCTAAAAACAAGGAGATCTTATCCAACCTTATCCTATCTTATCCAGTCTTATCTTATCTTAGCCCATATTATCCAAACATTATCTTATTTAATCCAACATTATCTTAACTTATCTCCAGCTGCAAAATGAGTCCTTATCCTATTCTAAATACTTCCCATCTGATTCTAGGAGTCCTAATCCATCCAAACAACTCAATCCCTATTCTCCTTGGATTCAGCCATTTTAACCCTATATATATGAAGTTCCTGTAGAGATTTAGAACACACAGAAGAGAGCAATTGAGAGATTTTTAGAGAGTTTTAAAGGTTTGCCGCAGCAAGGAGAAGGAAGGAAGGGAGAAGCCTTTGTGCTGTGCCTATGCCCAAGCTTTTGGGAGTGCTGGAGCGTCTCTGGGGTGTCTTCTATCCTTGTTTTAGTTTTATTGATTTCATTGTTAATTTCTGCAATTATGTGGAACTAAACTCATTTTAGCTAGAGGTGGATTCAAAGCCATGAACATATATGTGATATGAATTGATTTCCTCGAGTTATTGTTTCGTAAAACATGAATGCAATTTACTTATCTGTTTGATTGATAACTTATTCTTGTATGTTGATTAAGGGTGCACACTTAGTTTGCATGCATGAATTTGATGCTAAAATATAAGGGAATTTCACTTAATCGTTATGAACTTATATTTATAACTAGTGGAAGTCACTAGTCATGATTGTGTCAAGTAAATCCATGTTAGGAGTATCATGCAGTTCATAGTTATGAATGCCTTGCCAATGCTTATGATTTTCACAAAGTTTAATGATCTTTGATTGTATCTCTATTATGATGTTCATGTAGGGAACTATTGAAGAATAATTTGGTTGCCGATGCGTTATCCATCTAATTCAATGACCTTAGGAAAATCTAAAAGTCAATTTGTGCGTCTCACGATTAATTTGGGGCATTGTCATTCATGGTTTAAAGGAATAATAACTGGAAATCGATTTGTGTTGTATATGTGTCATGTGTGGAGAATGACCCTCTAGCTAGCCTTTCACCTTTAAAACACCCAACTTCGTGTCTAACCTATTTAGTTTATGCAATATGTTTAGTTTAATTAATTTCATCCAAAACCAATCCCCCTTTAATATTTTGTGTTTGAACTTAGTTAGAATCTGTTTAAGTCTATTTATATTAGTGTTTTGAGTCAAGTTAAGTTTAAAATTTGTCCAAATACCTCTTTAGTTCTTATTTGTGTTAGTTTAGTTTCAATTCGTCAGAATATGTCCCTATTTAGTATTCGTCCAAATCACTTTCTAGTACCTGTTTTGAGTCAATTTAACTTAGTTTGTGTGTTTTGAGTCTATTTATCTTGTTTTGAGTTGTTAGAGTCTAGTTCTGTTTTTGGGTCTAGTTTAGTGTTTTAGAGTTTAAATTGTGTAGATTAGCATACCTTCTAATCCCCGGTCTAAAACGATCCCTACTTACACATACTACAATTATAGGGTTTAATTTGTGTGCTATTATATATCACATCACGATACCTAATCAGTTTGGTAGTTTCCGAAAAACTGAATATGCATCTTATGGACGTGGTAACTGTGTATCTCTATAGGGATCTAGATATGGAAATCTACATGAAAGTTCCAGAATGACTTCCATTAACTGGTTCAAATAGTTATAGATCACGGAACACTCTCTCTATTAGATTAAAGAGATCACTATATGGATTGAAACAATCTGGGCGGATGTGGTATAACCATTTAAGTAAATATTTGACAAGTCGGGATTATGTGAACATCGAATTATGCCCATGTGTGTTCATAAAGGAGTCACATTCCGGATTTGCAATCATTGCAGTTTATGTCGACGACATGAACCTCATCGGAACTCCTGCAGAGCTTGAGGAAATTGTCGCGCACTTGAAATTAGAATTTGAGATGAAAGATCTTGGGAAAGCTTCATATTGCCTCGGCCTGGAGATCGAGCATTGTTAGCATAGAATCCTAGTACATCAATCAAACTACACCCTAAAGGTGTTGCAACGTTTTAATGAGGATAACGTGAAGCCTTCAAGTACACTATGGTCATTCGGACTGTAGATGCTAAACGAGATCCATTCCGTCCAAAGGAGGATTTTGGAACCCGAAGTTCCATACCTAAGTGCAATTGGGGCTTTATTGTACTTGGCTCAATGCACTAGACCCGACATCTCATTTGCTGTTAATCTTTTGGCTAGATACAGCAATGCACCCACACGTAGACACTAGAATGGTGTTAAAGATAGTTTCCTCTACCTCAAGGGTACTACGGATTTGGGCTTGTTCTATACTTGCGAATCTTCGAGAGTTGTCACCCCCTCGGTTCTTGGATTGATTCCCACCTTGTTGGTTACGCAAATGTTGGATATCTGTCTGACCCACTTAGGGAACGTTCTCAAACGGGCTATATCTTTACCGTTGGAGACACTGCTATATCTTGGAGGTCTACCAAGCAAACGCTAGTTGCGACTTCTTCGAACCATGCTGAGATGCTTGCCCTGCATGAAGCATCACGTGTGTGCTTTTGGTTGAGAACAGTTATGGAGCATATTCAAAGCATTAGTGGCCTTACTTCCATCGTTGACCTTCCTACGATGATCTTTGAAGACAATGTAGCATGTATCGAGCAGTTAGAGAAAGGATATATCAAGGGAGACAACACCAAGCACATAACGCCAAAGTTCTTTTATTCTCACCAACAACAACAACATCAAAACATTGAAGTCAAGAAAATCTGTTCCCAGGACAACCTAGCCGATCTCTTCACCAAGTCATTGCCGAAGTCTACTTTTCAAAAGCTCGTCCAAGGAATCGGTATGCGTAAATTATCTGAATTAAATTGCTTGTAGTTCTCTTATTTAGAAGTTATGTCTAACTCAGGGGGAGTATCTTGAAGCATACTTACTTGATCTTAATGTACTATATTTCCTACAATTAGGAGCATTTCTCCCACTGGGTTTTTGCTACCTAACGAGGTTTTGATGGGGCACCCATCATGAGATGATCATACTCCGTTAAGTTCACTACTTTCATCCTGTTTGACGTTTGTTTTAGACATTATGCATACTTCTCACTTTTCTCCTTAGCCTATGGGTTTTTCTCCCACCTTGAGTTTTACCATAGCAAGGTTTTGTGAGTTTTACTACCAATGCATACTTTCTTTTAAAATGTGAAACTCATATTAGCCCGTTGTGTTGCCGACTTCCTCAACTATTCTACCTTATCTGTAAAAGATCTAATGCGATGTTTGTTTGAGTATTTACACACTAAAGGGGAGTGTTGCTGTCATATTTGGAATAGAAATTTGATTATGTAAATCCTAGTGTATTTAGGGATATCTTTTATATTCATTTTAGTTGTCTAATTCCTATTAGAGTTGTAATCCTAAAAGGGTCCTACTACGATTAATAAAGGCACAATGGGGTGATACAACACACACCTCACAATCAAATCTCTCTCTTCTCTCTCTCATTACCGCCGGCCTCCCCCTCTCTATTCCCCTAGAATAGCTCAGTTAAATAGGCCTACAATATATATTTGTTTTACAATGCCCACATACTATACGTTATTAGGAGGTCTTTTGTAGACATATTATTAGTTGTAACATGATGAAATTTTTGTAAGCGTTAATGACTATCAACAATTAGGAGAATTCTTTTGTATTTTATGTTTATGTGAGATGTAACAAATAAACATTTACTAGCACATTATTTTGTTTAATTGAAACTTAGTCGTGGTTGACTTGATGAAATATGTATGTTCCCAAAAAAATATAATCCAATAGAAATCTGTGAAATGCATGGATGTTTAGAAAACTAGAACTCTTGAGATATTGAGCATTTTATGTTGACATGTAATAGGCTTAAACCAGCCAAACCAAACCGACTAACAATAGTATGGTTTAGTTTCAATAATGATATTAGTCAAAGCCAAATCAAACGAAACCGTTGATTGCTAATTAATTTAGTTATACTTTTTGTGCCAAACCAAACTAAATCCAACTGCACCCACCATTCAACGCCAATTTCATTTCTTTTGTTCTTTTAATTACTAATTTTTGCATCATCATTATAATTTCATGTAAAAAGGACATAAGTTTACGTGTTTACCCTGCAAACAGAGGCAAACTTGAGAGTGACTAAAACACAAATACGGGAGAACAACTTCATAACACAAGGACATGCAGGAAACTACATACAAATGTTTTTTTTTTCACACAAGACGTCATTATAATTGTAAATAAAGAGCAAGTAATAGGTTGTCACGATAGATAAAGTGTTCATTTTAACTCATGGTAGCCCGAATACGAACTCTTCAGTCTAATAGTGCAAGTGAGAGGCTACTTAGTAATATGGTCTAACGGTGTTTTTCTTCACTTGTAAGCAAGAAGTTTGAAGTTTGATTCTCGTCAAATGTGAATTTGAACCACATTATTGCTAGCTCATTATGAGGCTAAGCTCATTCCTACCCGATCTTGTAATGTAGATAATATCGTTTGTTTTTTTTGTTTTTTTTTAAATAGTGTAAGTGAGAGGTTTTAGGTTCAATTCTTGCCAAAGGTAAAGTTAAACCACATTATTATGGCAAGCTAATTGAAAGACTTAGCTCACTCGTCATCCGGTCACCCCCTTAGTTTCGATAATATTGTTTGTTTAAAAAGAAAAAGTGTAAGTTTTATTTTTTTTGAACAAATATATTATCTACACTAAAGAAGAGAGGTAGACTTTACCTCATAATAGACTAGTAATAATATGATTCGAGTACGCATTTAACGAGATCTTTCATTTCTAAATGAAAATGAATACCACTAATTCTTAGTGTGAATAGTGCAATAATAGAATTGGTACTAAAAATGTTGCGCGGGTTGGTCATTGCTGATAATAAATAAATTTAATGGAAAAACAAAGAACGGAAATCGGGATGGTTCGGCTGCGATTCCGAAGAGAAGGAAAACACATGAGGAGCATAAAATAGAAGAGCGAGCGCTAAATACAGTGTGAGCGGGCGAGACCTTGCCGGGACAGACAGATACAAAATCTCCGAACACCTCTGCAACAGAAGGTTGGCAATCTTAATGTCTTCACCTTAAAAAATGGAGCTTTTTGACCAAAAAATAAAAAAATGGAGCTTGTTTCCTGCTGAATGCTTGTCGATCTTGTTTATTATTCCATTTTTAAGCTTCGGTGTTTTTGGGACTTTGGGGTTCCCCGAAAGGTTCCCTTTTTGTGGAATTGGGTTTGGTACTTTGGCTCATCGTAAAATAATTAATTAATTCAGGCAGTGTGTTGTGGATTTAATCTTTCTTTTAATTATGTTATGTATTTAGGGTTAAGGATATAATCCAAGTATTTTCTCATATCTTGGCTTTTGTTGCTGCAGTTAAGAATCTTGAGGTTTCTGATGCAAGATGGTGAACGCTGTTAAAGGACTGTTCATCTCTTGGTAAGATACTACTTGTACCAATTCTGTGTTGCGCTTCTATTAGTTTTGCGGAATTTGGCATGGTTTTCAAAGATATTAGGTTGCCGTTCCTCCTCGCCTTCTTATATTTCGAAAACTACTTCTATTCAATGGATACAACGACAAGTTTAAAATCTTGTCTTGCATACGTTGGCACTCGGCAGTTCTCTGTCTTTTGGGTCTTAGGTTTGATTTGTTTCTGTTGGTAGCTACAACGGAGTGTCCGATCATCACAGATTCACTGTAGTTTCTTTGAGTTCAAAGCGAGTGCATGGATTTAAAGCTTCTGACTTGTGTACATTATATGTTGATACAAAGCGCAATCCACAAATAGATTTTGATTCATCCAGTGAAGCGATTTCTGTGGAGTTTGTATCTTCCGGGTTATATTAATTTTGTGGAATTTAGCATGGTTTTCAAAGATATTCGGTTGTGGTTCCTCCTCGCCTTCGTATATTTAGAAAACTACTTCAATTCAATGCATATAATGACAAGTTTAAAATCTCGTCTTGCTTAAAAATTATCGTGCGGTTGGGTTGGCACTTGGCAGTTCTCTCTCTCTCTTTTGGGTCTTAGGGTTGATTTGTTTCTATTGGTAGCTACTACGGAGTGTCTGGTCATCACAGATTCACATTAGTGTTTTTGAGTTCAAAGCAAGTGCTTGGATTTAAAGCTTCCGACTTCTGTACATTATATGATCATACACAGCGCAATGCACAAATAGATTTTGATTCATTCAGTGAAGCAATTTCCGGAGAGTTTGTATCTTCAGGCTTTTAGTATCTGTTAATCCAGCTGCTGAGTTCACCATCCTTAAAGAATAGTTTTAGTTGCTTCTTTAACCATCTCATGCTCTTGCCTTTTTCTGAAAGCATTTGTGCTTCTCTTGTACAGTGACATACCGATGGCGCAATTCATCATCAATTACGACAATTCACTGCCTGCTTCACAGAGATTCATAATACACGTCTTGGATAGCACTCACCTTTTTGTGCAGCCCCATGCTGCCGAGATGATAAGAAGCGCCATTGCAGAATTCAGGGATCAGAATTCATATGAGAAGCCTACTTGAGTGCTTTGGAGACTAAATGTTTGATTCATCGTTCATATCATGGCTTTAAATCCTTCCTCCAGTTCTTTGTCGACTGAAGCTGTTAATACGAATCCCAGCTTCCTGTAAGAGAAATTATACTACCTTGTGCTTTTGTAGTCGGAACACATGGAAGTTTGAATGATACCCATGCATTGTATTAAATGTAGTGAACTGTGTTTCGAACAGGGGTGGTCACAGTTTGGTTTGGTGTTGTTTCAAACAGTTTTGGTTCGGACCGCTGGGTTTCAAATCATTTGCAAACAAAATAAAAGGTGAACCACAGCAAATTACATGGAATTCAATTACAAATTTTGTAGGAAATTCAATTCATGCTGCAAAATTTAAATATCAATTAGCATATTTTTAGTTAAATACTTGAATCTGAAACACAGTAAACAAATGGCCGAATGGGTTCGTTTGTTTAAGTATTTAATTCCGGACAAGGATCCTCTCCGGATCTTCTTTGGATCATCTTTGTGGGTGTCACATCCCGGCCCGGGTGAGACCACTTCCCGGGCCCGCTCCACCACCGTAGCACGATATTGTCCGCTTTGGGCCCCGACCACGCCCTCACGGTTTTGTTTCTGGGAACTCACACGAGAACTTCCCGATGGGTCACCCATCCTGGGAGTGCTCTCGCGCGCTACTCGCTTAACTTCGGAGTTCCTATAGAACCCGAAGCCAGTGAGCTCCCAAAAGGCCTCGTGCTAGGTAGAGATGGGAATATACATTTAAGGATCGGTCCCCTAGGTGATGTGGGATGTCACAATCCACCCCCCTTAGGGGCCCGACGTCCTCGTCGGCACACACGCGACCAGGGTTACGCTCTGATACCAAATTGTCACATCCCGGCCCGGGTGAGACCACTTCCCGGGCCCGCTCCACCACCGTAGCACGATATTGTCCTCTTTGGGCTTACCATTCCCTCACGGTTTTGTTTCTGGGAACTCACACGAGAACTTCCCGATGGGTCACCGATCCTGGGAGTGCTCTCGCGCGCTACTCGCTTAACTTCGGAGTTCCTATGGAACCCGAAGCCAGTGAGCTCCCAAAAGGCCTCGTGCTAGGTAGAGATGGGAATATACATTTAAGGATCAGTCCCCTGGGCGATGTGGGATGTCACAATCCACCCCCCTTAGGGGCCCGACGTCCTCGTCGGCACACACGCGACCAGGGTTACGCTCTGATACCAAATTAAGCGGGCCCGGGAAGTGATCCACCCCGGGCCGGGATGTGACATTGGTATCAGAGCCTATCCCTGGCCAGAAATGTGCCGACGAGGAAGTCGGGCCCCTGAGGGGGGTGGATTGTGACATCCCACATCGCCCAGGGGACTGATCCTTATATGTATATTCCATCTCTACCTAGCACGAGGCCTTTTGGGAGCTCACTGGCTTCGGGTTCCATAGGAACTCCGAAGTTAAGCGAGTAGGGGGCTAGAGCAATCCCATGATGAGTGACCCTCTGGGAAGTTGCTCGTGAGTTCCCAAAAACAAAACCATGAGGGAATGGTAAGCCCAAAGCGGACAATATCGTGCTACGGTAGTGGAAGCGAGCCCGGCAAATGATCCGCCCCGGGCCGAGATGTGACAGTGGGGATCCGAGGATCAATCAATCGTGTATGTTCATTATACATTGTGTGGTCAATTTTCGTTAGATACTATTTATTTTCAATTTAAAAATTAAAATTTAAAATGATTTATAACTGCACGATATATGATGAACGGACACAATTAATTGATCCTTCGGATCCCCACAAAAAGGATCCGGGAGAGGATCCTATTCCTTTAATTCCAAACAAGGGCAGAGAACTTCCTTTGAATCTGAAACAAGGGAAGGGATCATAGCATTTGACTATTTGATAGGAGCATATTCATGCGACTTAAATGGCTTGTTCTCGTGCATTTACGTTATGTTTCTTTAGTTATTTTAGTACTTTAAGCTATTTTCGTGTGTTTGTAGGTCCAAAGGGCTAAAGGAGCAAAAAGATGCATTTTGGAGACTTTTGGAGCACTTTTGGGCTAAGGATGGATAGCCTATGCTTGGAGCCAAAGTGTTGGACGAAATTGAAGACCTAATTGAAGACCAAAGTGTTGGAACCTTGTTCCCTTTAGTTTTAGGACATTTAAACCTTTCCTATATCCTTAGCCGTGCATAACATTCCAACATTCCACTCCTTCATTTCAGCCACACTCCCACATATCATTACTTATCATCACCACTTATCACTTATCATAATCACATATCATTACTTATCATCACCACTTATCACTTATCATAATCACATATCATACACTTATCATCACCACTTATCACTTATCATAATCACCCATAATCATTCACATAAATCAGCCACATGCATTCACTCTTCATAATTCAACCTAGCTGTCATGTTTCCCCTTTCATCATTCCCTCACATTCTTTAATTCAGCCAACACATGCTTACACATGCATTTTCAGCACCAAAGAATCATTGCACATGCATTTCCAACCCACATGCATCATTTAATCATTCAAACATACAGCCACATTCACTTTACCTAGCTGTCATGTTCCCTCTCCCATCCATTTTCAGATTTCCACCAACCAATCTAGTTGTCATTACACATGCATTCCCTTCTTTAATCATTCCTAGCTGCCATTCACATGTTCTCCCATCCCTTCTCTCCCTATAAAACCATGCATTGCATTCATTCAATTCAATTCATTCTTCCATACACATTTCAGTCACAAACACCAACCATTCCCTTGTGCCGTGGCCTCCTCCTTCCATTTTCACCACTCCCCAAACCATTCACACCATCAAACTATCCTTAGACCTTGTGCTACAACGAAGAGGAAGATAAGAGGGCCTAAACGTTCATACAATTCAAGTTTGAGTTGTTGGAATGTTTAGGTGTTTCTTTGATTTCAATATTTAAGTTCAATACTCTTTGTTTTGTACGAATGAGGAAAGGAAGAGAAGAGGGCCTAAACGTTCATACAATTCAAGTTTGAGTTGTTGGAATGTTTAGGTGTTTATTTGATTCTCTTTGTTTTGTATCATGAGGAACTAAACCCGCCCTTGGCTAGGGGGGAATTCGAAATATATGTTTATGCTTGCATTTTGATTTGATTACTTCTAATTGCGTTTCATAAGTTGTGGATTCAATTTGTTTAACTATTTGATTGATAACTTATTTATGTATGTTTATTGAGAGTGCACACTTAATTTTCATGCATGAATATGACGCTAGAATATAAGTGAGTTTCACGTAATAGTTATGAACTTATATTCACAGGTAGTGGAGGTTGCTTATAAACAATCGCGTTAAACAAATTCTTGGCATAAGTTTCATGCAATCATAGTAACGAATGCCTCGTCAACACTTATAGTTTTCATGATGCTTAATGATTCTTGCTTGTATCTCTATTATGCAATTCATGTAGGGAACTTGTGAGGAATGCTTTGGGTTGTCGTATGCAATCATCCAATTCATTAACTTAAGGAAAACTTGACGGTTAATTTAAGCGGACCTAATTAACCCGGGGTGATGAGTTTCATAATTTATTGAAATGCAATTGGAAATCTTTTTATTATGCAAGTGTAACATGTGTGGAGATGAACCCCTTAGCTAATCCATCCATCATCTTGTTTTCAAGGAATTCGTCTTACAATCTGCCTAGTTTGTTACTTTGTTTTGTTATTTCAATTTTCGTCAAAACAAAACCCCCCTTTACTTTCTTGTTCTATAGTGTTTAGAATCTGTTTAATTTGTGTTTTAAAGTGTTTTGAATCCACCTATAATCTTAAATTCGTCCAAATTTGTGTTTAAGGTCAGAAACTGCCTAGTTAGTGTTTTTAGGCAGTTTTGAGTCTTTTGAACTTGTTTTGAGTCCTTTGAGTCTTTGTATTGTCCAAATTAGTTAGAAAGTGTTTTGATTTGTGTTTCTAAGTATTTTGATTCAAGTTTTCATCCAATTTCGTCCAAATTAGTGTAGGTGCTCAAAACTGCCCAGAAAGTGGTTTTTAGGCAGTTTTGAGTCTTCTAGTTGCTGTTTTGGGTTTTAGGTTTGTTTAAGTGTTTTAACTTTTAGTTTTGCATTCTTTGAGTCAAGTTTAGTGTTTTAAACTTTGTTTTTGAGTTTTTAAGTCAGTTTCCAAGTGTTTAGTAATCCCTCCTAATCCCCGGTTAAGAACGATCCCTACTTATATCTATACTACAATTGTCAAAAAGAGGGTTAATTTGTGTGCTTATCTATTTCGCATCAAATTTTGGCGCCGTTGCCGGGGATTAGCAACTTTGCTAATCTCTTGGATTGTTTTATTATCGTTTGTGTGTATATATTTTTAGTTTTATTTTGTTGATTTTAGAAGCAAGACATGGCACTTGATAGTGCTTCTCTTTTGTCACAGCTTATGGAAGAGTACCAAACGCAAAGAGTTGGTACATTTGATCATAATCAATCAAGGAACGACGTGTTTTCCAATACTTACAATTCGGATTGGAGTGATCATTCAAACTCTATGTGGTGGGAACCTCAACATATTCAACAAGAAGGATATTGGCAACCATATGAGGAGTTCTATACAACACCTATGCAGCCACCACAACCTGCCCAAACAAATTCAAGTGAGTCTTTGTATAATGATACGGTTAGTAAGTTACTCACCAATTTGTCTCAGGGGCAAGAAGATCTAAACAAAGCAAGGCAAAATCAAGACAAAAGGTTGGACTACTTGGAAAAGCAAATTGGGCAGATCGCGGAGTTCGTAGGACAATTTCAAGACCAAGGCAAACTCCTTATTTCAACCCTTGCAAATCCGAAGGAAGGATTTGAAACTGCCTTGAGAAGTAGCAAGGAGGTTGGAACGGACCCTCAACCATCAAAATCAAATCACAAGGAAGAGGAATACACCCAACCCACGGCAAGAGTGGAAACACCTTTGCCGGAGGCACCTATTGCTTTTACGCCATCTAATTCAAGTAAGGTTGTTCCAAATTTAATTAGTTCTAACCCCATTCCACCTAATATCCCTATTCCTTGCAGGTTCATGAATTCCAAGGAAGAAGAAAGTGAAAAAGACACCTTGGAAGCCCTTCCAAAGGTGAAAAGTAGGGAATATCATGAATTCATCAAAGAGGACGTTCTTGAGATAAACAACCCCAAAGAAGTTGAATTTTA